CTGGCATGTAGTAGGTGCTTAATAAATGCTTATTGACTGCCAGAACTGAGCTGTGAAGCAAAGGGCCAGTTACTACCCAACTTCATGTCCAGTCCAGTCTAGGGAAGGGCAATAGAGTCACTTCCAATCCCAAAGTTTATGTTTGTATCTCTCTACCTAGTGTAATACCTGGCACAGAGTAGATATTTAATAAATGTGTGCTGACTGATACTCTCAGCATGTTCTGGATAGAGGTTAAGTTATGGAGATGCCCAATGCCCCACCTGGGCCCTGCTCCTTTTTCAGGAAGAGTAGTTCAGATTCTGTTTTTCGTAGCATATTAACTGGCTAGTCAGCAACACCAACACTTAGAAATCACTTTCAATGAACAGAATCCTGAAACTAAGGAAGACTAGTACAGTTACTGGCACACAGCAAGCACTTAATAAATGCTTGTTGACTCAAACTGACTCGAACTAAGAATCACACACTTAAATCAGTGAATTGTTTTGTGTTCTCTTACCCCCAAATTTACTAATTAACAAAAACCATTGATAAAATTAGCTTGTGGTATAAAAGAGGCATAAATTTTACAAAAAAAACCCAAAACATTGTAGACTGGTAGGGTTAGTTCTAGAGCTATGGAACAATTAGATACATCAGCAGAGGTGGATAACTGCACCCCTTTGGCTCTTCCCTATCACTCACCAAATTAGTCCTGGCCAAATTCAAGGCATCTTGGAATCAGAAGATGGAGATTAAAATTGCCAGCTTCTGGGAGGGGACAATTACCGGAGGGATAAGGTAAAATTGGGGATGAAAGCTACAGTATAAATGGAAATACGGCTGCATTGACAATAGAGGTAAGAGGGGTATGGGGCTGTGGGAGACAGTATATGAATCTCTGCAAGGCCATAGAGAAGAGGAACACAGAGGAAGGAGAGAGGAACTGATATCCAATTTCAGTTTTTCAGGGACTCATGCAGGAAGTTAAAGCCAAAATGACCAATAGGGAATTCACCAACTTGTCCCCATGAGCCACTGTGTCTCAGCTGAGTGAATCACTTTTGTTTCCTCCAAGTGTAGTTAAAAATAATTCTAATTCATCTTGGAGGTATCTGGTCATTCCCCAAGATGACTCTTAGGCCACCTGAAGGAGGAAATGGTGACCATTCCCTGGACAAGAACTAAACTTGGGGAAACTCTAAGAAGAACGGGCCTTGAGCCACAATGAATGCACTTGCCCAACCTCAACAGGATTTTAGCAGAGGTGGGCCAGCCTGAAGCGTATTCCAACCACCTGCTAAAATGATGTGATGACATCTTCCCCTCCTACTGCCACTGTTCCGTAAGAAGCATCAAAGATGAAATTAGGGTGAAGGGATTCAAAAGAAGTTTCATGCTGATAGCAGCCACCAGAGAGATGCTCCACTTCCTGCTACTCTCAGTCATCCTAGAGAAACATTAAAAAAAAAAATAGGACAGTTATTAACAGAGCATTATCTGAAATGCTCAGACTGGTCAAGGATTAGACTGCAGCCCATCATCTCAGAAGATCAGCAAAAAGACTCAGAAGTCATTGATGAGAATTATTCAAGAGTCTTGGGACAAGCGGAGTATTAGGTGGATCAAACTATTGCCACAATCTCACCCACCACCTCCCCCTCAGGCCCAGGGGGAGAAGTCCAAGAACTCCAGGAATTGGAGCATCCCTTTCCCAAGGTCACTGGCCCTGCTTTCAGCCTGACCCCTGCAGCCACCAAGTGTTGACCAATTTCCTCCATTGGGCAGGGAAACCCAAGAACCCCAGGATACCACAGCCACCCACACCCCACTGGCTTTGGTTCTAGCCAACCCTCAACAGTCATCGTCCAAGGGAATAACCCTGGAGGAGATGCAACCTAAAAACCATCTCTGTAGGTGACTGCATTCCCTGCCTACTCAGCAACCGTGGTTGCCAAAAACCCAGAAGAAAAAGTTCTCTCCACCAAAGGGCACGGCATTACCAATCTACCCTGCTGCTGCTCCCTAAGGCCCACCATGCCTATCCATCAGACTTGAAGCTGAAATCTCCTAGATATACTGTCTTCTCCTATTAGAATGGGGGCTTCATGAGAACAGACACTGTCTTGCTTTTCTATATTAGAAAAATGCTTTGCACATAGTAATCGCCTAAGAAATGCTTGTTTATCCATTCATGCCGTGGAACATCTGGCCCTAGGAAGTGGCCCAGTGGTTCTCACCTTTTTAAAATCTGTAACTTGCTTACTTTTTAATAGTTTTATCAGCTGGTAAATTCTCAGTATGGAAACTGCCTCTATCAATTATAACATACTACCTTAGAAAGGTGAGAAATGACTTGCCCAAGGTCACATAGCCATTATGCCTCAGAAGCAAGCCCTGGACTCAGAGCTAACTGACTCCAGGGCTTCCTCTTCTAAACCAATTCATTAGGACAAAATACAGCAAATACCATCTAACCTGACTGCCATTACGAAAATAAATAATAATTTTGTGATTCATCTGCCTGGAAAAATAACCCACTGTTGTGGTTACTTTTCTTTAAATACTCAATTGAGAATTTTTTAAAAATATAAACTCAAATCATCAGTGAAAAATACACATAAAAAAAGAAAAGTCTGTGAATATGTCCTGCAGACCAATTAAAATTGGTCATTTCAATGAATATGAGGAATTCAAAGAAAGATGGAAGGAGTTGGTGGGAGGTTGACTGAATAAGTAAATAAAATTATCATACCCCATTTAAAATAAATGATAAAATGTCCTACTACCTTAGCCAGGTGAGAACACGTCAAAAACAAATAATCATAAGCTTCAGACTAAAGAAAGAAAAAAAATTCCTTGAGCAGCTAGTTGGTTTTTTTTAATTATTTTTATTTTCCAGATGAAGAAATTAAGGCTGAGAGGTAAAATGATTTGTTCAGAGTCACACAGGGACTAAGTTTCTAAGGGATGATTTAAACTCAGGCTTTCCTAACACTGAACCCAACACTCTACCTAATACACTACCTAGTTACCTCTAATGTATAATATGTATATTCACATATATACCAAAATACTTCATTAAGACGAGGATCTTAGAATTTATAAAGAATTTAGTGGTAGTAGGAGATGAGACTGGATTGAATCTGGGAAATGTTATGGTGCTTTCAAAGTTGATCAACTAGGGTTGCACAGAACTGTTTTCTGATTAGCTGAGGAAACTCGGTAATGCCCCATGGGGTTTATATAAAACCAGGTATCTAATTGAGAACCCTAGAAACTGGAATAGAAAGAAGAGAGTCTTCCACCTAAATCCTCAAGAAGGAATCAGTTAGAGGGGAGAAGCAGAGCTTTACAGCCTTAGTCTCTATCTGCTTTCTCCCCTTCCACAAAGGGACCTCATGAACTTCTTCCTGTCTTTCCACTGATGTCCCAATGGTGCCTCTGGATCAGCTGATGACAGAATCTGCTTCAGGAGGCAAGGACAAACCATATTCAAGACTGTCCAAAAAGCCCAATAGAAAAACTGTAACATATCCAATGTTACCACCCTGAAGTCAACAAGATTCAATTCAATTCAATAAACATTTATTAAGCACCAATTATGTGCCAGGCACTGTGCTAAGCACTAGAGATACAAAAAGGAGTTTATAATAGAATGGGGAAAACAACATGCAAACAAATATATCAAAGCAAGCTACATACAGGATAAATAGCAGTTAATTAACAGAGGGAAGGCACTAGAATTAAGGAGGGTTGGGAAAGACTCCGTGTAGGAGGTGGGATTTTAGTTGAGAGTTAAAGAATAATCTCTCACGTCCCTTCCAAATCCGAGCATTTGTGGTTCTGTGAAATATTTTGGTCAAAAAAAATTTTTTTTACTATTGATACTCATATAAATCCCAGCACCTAGCAGATTGCCTGACTTTCAGTTGGTGCCTCATAAATGCTTGCTGACTGACTGACTGATTAAACTACATGCAACAAAAACCGTTTTCAGGATTAAGGAATTATTTTTGTTGAAACACTTAAGGCTGAAAACTTTGCAGACCCACTTCCAACTCTGCAGCTTTGGGTAAGCTGGGGAGTGGAGGTAGGGAGAGGAGAGGGAGAAAAGAGGACAAATCAGGCGGCTTAGGGTAGCACCTGATGATTAAGGTTAACCATTTGGGTTTGCTTTATAAAAAGCTAATGCACTTACTAGCTGTGTGACCCTGGGCAAGTCACTTAACCCCAATTGCCTTTAAAAAAAAAAAGGAGGGGCAGCTAGGTGGCCTAGTGGATAGAGCACCAGTCCTGGAGTCAGGAGGACCTGAGTTCAAATCTGGCCTCAGACACATAATACTTCCTAGCTGTGTGACTCTGGGCAAGTCACGTAACCCCAATTGCCTCACACAAAAAACAAAAAACAAAAAACAAAGCTGATGCAGTGTCGTTCATCACATTATTCAATGAGTTTCATATAGTAGCAAGCCTGTGTGTGTGTGTGTGTGTGTGTGTGTGTGTGGTGTTTTTAAACAATGAGGAAAGTCTCTCCACCATTAAAGATCAACTACTGTTCTGAACCTTGTAGCCCAAAAGAATTGGTCAGGGTACTAAGGAGTTAAGGGACTTGTCCAGGGGTCACAAAGCCTGAGCCCAAGTCATTCTGAATCCAAGGACTTCCCTCTATTCACTCCTCAATACTGCCTCTCCTAGAGATGGATCACCACAAAGTGGTTAATTCCACTGTATGCTATAACCACAGTTCAAACTAAAAATTAGGAAAGTCCCTATTCACCAACCTCACTATACCTTGAAGAAATTAGAGGTGCTTTGTACGTTATAATATGACTAATAAATCAATGTTTGTTAAATTCAATTTGGATTCTGTCAGTTGCTAACTCTCTCCAAAACTGCACAGAAGAACTAACAAAGCTGGGATTTAAATGCACAACACTCTTCCTTGTCTCCACCCCCATCTCTCACCCTCAACTTTAAAACTCACCACAAGGGGTCAAGAAGCATTCCCAACTTACCCATTCATCATCCTCCGCCCCATCCCCTTGGCCTCGAACCTCTGACGCTGCTCCTTCTGAGGATTTCTGCGCCATGATATTGTCAGTCCACGATGCACCTGTCTGTCCATCACCAGCAAAATTACACTTGGTCACTGTTCCAGCCTCAAGTTTTGCTAAGGAGCCTAAAAAAAGAAAGGGTTAGAATAAATACTATCAACAGGGAGGAAAAAAAGATTCTTTTCTATTCATGACAGCTGGTTCCATTCTCAAAAAGTCAATCAAAATAGGGTTGTGCAAGCCCCCAAGCCCACAACTTACTACCATGGATATGTTCATCACGTAGATACCAACTTGGGTACTAGATGGTAGTTCTTAGATCCATGACAAAAATCCCATAATATCATGACACATATCACCCAAAAGAGCTTGTGAGAACCCACTGGGGACTAAGGGCTCTCAAAGGATTTGTCATAAAACTTAAAATGTCCCATGAAATGTCCACAGAAAAAGATCTGCTGGGCTTCTGTGAGTACTGAGGCAGGATGGGGTTGCCAAAGAGGTGAGGCCCATCAGAGCCCCTCCATTCACATAACCAAGATGTGGGGGAAGATGAGCAGTGAGAAAACTGGTAAGCCAAGGGGTCTTTGAGAAAGGAAATTACCACTCACTTATGAAAGGACTATCGCCCTGGGTTTTTAGACGAATTTCTGCACCCAGCTCTAGCTCAATCTTCTCCATCTCAGTCTCTGGAATCCAGAATGCCAGTGTCTGGTCCGGAGTGTGGCTTCCCGTCATCGCAAGCAGCTCTGGCTTTTCCACGAGCTCCTTCAATGCCGTGGGCGAGAGTCTGTCCGTGTCACCTTTGGCTTCCACCTCTGACCCCCAGACCAAACAAGATTCTGTTATCAACCTGGAACTCCCAGGCAAAGCAAGAACAAGAAGCCTGTGGAATCCAGGAGCAAACAGAAGCCCTTCCTGCTCACCTAATGATCTAGCCTGATCCTGCTTTCTGTTCGGAAGTCTTTCCAGGAGCAATCTGACAGTTTCTTCTTATTGTTAGGATCTTAAGACCCTCAAATTCCAGGGATTACATCTTGTCTGTTTTATCAGAAACTCTCAGCACTTAAGGAGAAAAGACCTACTCTGATATTGAATGTATTTTTATGAGGCAGCTGGACCCCAATAGCATGCAGGAGTAGGGTATAATGGTTAGAGAAACTGATTTGGAGTCAGGAAGATCCAACCCAGCCTCAGATACTTCCTAGCTGTGTGACCTGGCAAGGCACTTAATTTCTGTCTACCTTAGTGTTCTCATCTGTATAATGGGGATAATAATAGCACCCACTTCCCAAGGATGTTGTAAGGATCAAATGAAATAATATTTATAAAGTACTTTGCAGACCTTAAAGTGTTATATAAATGTGAGGAGGAGGAGGCAGCAGCTCGGTGACACAGTAGATAGACTGTCAGGCCTAAAATCAGGAAGACTCATCTTCCTGAGTTCAAATCCAGTCTCAGACACTAACTATATAACTCCTGTTTGCCACAGTTTCCTCATCTGTAAAATGAGCTGGAGAAAGAAATGGCAAAACATTCCAGTATCTAAGAAAAACCCAAATGGGTCACAAAGAGTAGAACAAGAATGAAAAATGACTGAATAACAGTGGTAACAGTAATAGGAGCAGCAGCAAGCAGTATATATTGGAGAGGGAAGATACTGGGGTCTAGGAGGGCCAGCAAAGCCGCTGGCACACTAATCCAGGTTTGACTAGAGTGAAAATGGAAAGAAAATGTAGGCAAGGTAAATATTTAAGCGGATGAAGTAGGGAAGACACCACGTTCTAGTCCCCCCACAAGTGCTCACTGAATACCAATTATGTACCCATTGTTATGCTAAAGACAACGGGGCTGTGGAAACAGTATATGATACAGTCTCTGCCCTCAAGAAGCTTATAATCTAGTGAAATAAAACTACTAACATGTGAACCAATGAAACTCTGTGGAGAGGTGGGGTGGGATGTGTGTGTGTGTTTGTGTGCGTGTGTGTGTGTGTATGTATACATATACCTAATATAAAAGACAAATGTATATATGTCTACACACACCCCCCAATAAAACAAAAGGAAACTACTATAATAGTAACAGTAGTAGCAGCAGCAGTAATGTTGGTAGAAATATCGATAGATAACTATAGATAGATATACATATACCTATTTATACATATGTATACATGCACATATACATACATATGTATACACACATACATACATATATAACAGCTCCCTTAAGAAGGTGAAACCTCAAAATCAATACATTGAAAGCTGGAAGGGACCTCAGTGACTATCTGGTTCAGTCCATGAGTAAAATCCACAAGAACTGGACCCAATTAAATACATACAAAAGAAATCCATGCTGGACGGGGCACAATTTTAAAAAGTCAGGGATCAATTGTCAAGATATTCTAAAGAAGGAACGATTCCAAAAGAGTTTGAAAAGATCACATTTAGTTCTATGACCCAATAAAAAGGTGACTAGAAAGAAATCCATGTCTCCTGACCCATATGGGCTTTATGAAAGCTTTCAGATAGGGTCAGCTAGGTGGTGCAGTGGATAGAGCTCTGGCCTTGGAGTCAGGAGGACCTGGAGTTCAAATCTGACCTCAGACACTTACTAGCTGTGTGAACCTGGGCAAGACACTTAACCCTGATTGCCTCACTAAAAAAGAAAAAAGGCTTTCAGAAGCACCTACACAAATACTGATAGCATTCCTCATGAAAACATGAGAAGGAAATAGGTAAGTTTTTACAGATGACTTTCCAATGCATACACATGTTCAAAGTCATACTGAAAGGTATAGGGAATACGCCTACTCTGTCCATTTTTTGTTACCAAAAAAACCATTTGAATGAGTAGAACAAAATAGAGCCTCAAACGCTCTCTTGAAAGGAAGTGTCTTCCACATGTGTTAATATCACACAGATTCTATGACAGAACTTTCAGTGATCTGCTGAGGATCACCATGAAGTGAGACATAAGACAGACATATGCCCAATAAAAGTATTAGCCAAAGTCATGGAATTAGATAGTCCTCATGGTGTACTGGAAAGAGCACTATACGAAGTCAGGAAAATACGAGTTCAAATCCTGCTTCTAACACTAACTAGCTGTGTTAGTGTGGGCAAACCTTCGTTTCCTCATCTACAAAATGGGAGTATTAAGATCCATAGTAAGTTGGAGGGATTTTGTGAAGATCACGTAACATAATATATGTAACATACTTTATAAGTTTTCAAGCACTATATAAAGGTCAGTTATTATTGTCATAAAGGAAGCTAAAAGATAAAGCCACTATTTGGGGCAAAGTTCTTCAGATGCTCCTTTTTGTATAAAATATTGTGTTCATCTGCAACAAAACCTAAATTTTCTAAATGAGGACCATATCTGCTTAAAAAAACCCCAGTGTAGCTTATCCATTTCTACCAGAAATAAAGTAGAGGAAAAATACAGATTGTCCAGATATACGACTTTCAGTTGGACTGGTAGCACACTGTTGGGCCCCCAGTCCCATGGGTACGTGCATCCTGGACAAGCACCACAGTCAGACAATGAGCTGGGCCCACCACTGAACAGGAGGAGGAGAACATCAGGCTGGAATGAATTTGGGAAATTATATCGTACTTTCAATTATTCCAAATGCCTCACTGACACAAAAGCCCATCCATCTAGTCAACATCATAATTCTTCTGGTGATGGGGCAGATGATGATGATGATGAGATATATATATATATATATATATATAGATGATCTAATGGATAGAGTAACAGGACTGGAGTCAAGAAAACCCGAGTTCAAATGCAACCTCAGACACTTCCTAGCTATGTATATTTACCAACATGACCCTGGGTAAGTCACTTAACCTCTGTTTGCCTCACTTTCCTCACTTGCAAAGTGGGGATAATGACAGCACCTACCTCCCAAGGTTGTTGTGAGGATCAAATGAGATATTTGTAAAGTGCTTACTTAGCACAGTGTCTAGTACACAGTAGGTGCTGTATAAATGTTAGTGATGATGATGACGATGATGTCAAAATGGCAGTGAATCATGGCATACCATAATCTCAGAAGAGTCTAAAACTGCAGGTGACCCTTAAGCCCATCAAACTGGCAAAGGCTGAAATATTCAAGACTGACAGGGCTATGGAAAAACAGGCATGCTAATTCACTGACAGTGGAGGCATGAATTGGTCTATTTCCAAAAGCAATATGAAATCACATAATAAAAATTACACAACTATTCCTGTCTTTCAACCCAGTTATTCATTAAGATGTTTCTACTCCAGGGAGGTCAAATGACAACAAGAAAAGACATTATCTTTATACAAGTTTCCAAAGAAGCCCTATTCATAAGAGCAAAAAGTTGGGGACAAACCGGGCACCCAGTGCCTAGAGAGTAAATGAATAAATTGTGGCATATGGATGAAATGGAGTATTCTTGGAATGACAAATATGAAGAATTCAGAGAAATGTGGGAACATTTCTATGAAATGATGCAGAAAGTAGATGCAAAGGACACTTCATACAGACTACAACTACGTAAATGAAGACGAACTCAAACAGCAACAGAATTCAGGCTACAACAATGCTCAGTGTTGTAGTACTTTGTATGAGTTAAAGGGCACAAGCATTTTTCTCTTTTAACAAATGGTCATTACAAAAGCAAACGGTAATTTACACCACTTAAAGTCACAATCCCTCCCTTGTGCTCTTCAGCTGAATTTTTGATGGGGCATACTTTGTTTTTGGTTTATTTGTCTTTCGGATTAAAACAAAGTTTATCAATTAATTTTTTTTTCACCTATCCTAAAGGCCAGTGGATAGATGTCTCGTAGGCTGCAGAATAGTATCAATGATGACTTTCAAGTGAAGAGTAGCATAAATGTATTCTCTGGGAAGTAGTAAAAGAGATGGTTTAGTCACATAGAAAAAGTGAGGGATAAGAGAGGGCGTATGTGCTATACTCATAACTCTGACGTGGCTAAAGAGTCAGAGGAGGATCTCCAGTGCATTGGGTAGGTCCTCCATGGAAAATTTACAGAAAGACATGGGCAAGAATCCCACAGGATAAGATGATGGGGTTGGGTCACAATCTGCACAATGGCGGGGAGTAATCATACTGACGAGCTCACAGAGCCATCAAAAGTCTAAGTAAGTGCTAAACTGTCTGTTGCACATTATGCCTGCCGTAGTTTAGACAAAGGTGACATCAAGGAAGACCTGGAGTAGTCAGGAAAGGTTTCCTGGATGAGACAGGACTGGATGTAGGCCATGAAGGATAGACAACATTTCACTAGGGGAATGGGAGCGAGAATGGTATCCAAGGCAAGGACAGATAATATGAATGAAAATCATGGAAACAGGAATTAGCATGATGTGTCTGTGAAAGGCCAGCCTCACTAAAGCTGACAGTGGAAGCTAAAAATACTTAGAAACATTGTAAAGTTGGATTGGTAGGGCAGGGACATGTTTCATTTTTATCTTCTTTTCAAAGCAACCTTGACATCTCTCTCCATTTGTTATTTACATTTATTAGTAAACTTTAACCCTAATATAGGATTGTGACTATACCTTAGCCTTTACAGAGTGGTAAATGAGCAAATGAGATGATAATTGTAAAGCACTTAGCACAGTGCCTGGCACATAGTAGGTCACCATCATTATTGCTATTATTACTAGGATACTCCATGAGTCAGGGACTAACTCTGGAATGAAGCCTAGTTTCTTGCTACCCAAACCTATGGCTAATCCAATGAGCCACACTCCCTATTCCCCTATTCTTATATCTGTTAGACAGTAAAATTAATCTAAATCGGTCTATATTTTTCTCATCTATGCAAATCCCATGGGAGATCAGGGTCAGGAGAACTAAAGATTGATTGGATGACCTACCCCATTCAGCTTCATCTTTGTAGAGGAGCAAGGATAGCAAAAAAGGTGAGAAGAAAATAAGCAGACCAGTTGTCATACTGTCAGACTCCATCATGTCTAACATCACATTAGATGTCTCTTGTATTGGCAGGTTATCCCTGCCTCAGAGATGAAAGCTCTAGATAATCCTGAGGGAAGAGAAGTGGTAAGGGGCAGCAAAAGGAGATGAATCCTCCTCCTCTTAAGTGATTGTCTCTGAGGGGCTTGGCTGGAACCCCTTCACAAATTAGACTGGTCCGCCACCTGACTGAATCAGCTTGCTCTTTTATTCATAGACCTTGAGGTGTTTCTGATTCTCTCAGCCAGTCACAATTATTTCCTGTGTGGCATCATCTAATTTTAATCCAATGATCAAAGCACTTTATTCCTCTCAAACTGATTAGGCAATTAAAAGTTAACACTTTTAATTGATTCAGTTAGACTGCCTGAGATTTCTTTTGTTGTTGTTGAGTCCTATCTGACTCTTCTTCACCCCATTTGGGGTTTTCTTAGCAAAGATACTTCAGTGGTTTGCCATTTCCTTCTTCAGCTCATTTTACAGATGAGGAAACTGGGGCAAACAGAGTTAAATGACAAGCCCAGAGTCACACAGCTGCTAAAAGTCTGAGGCCAGATTTAAACTCAGGAAGATGACTCTTCCTGACTTCAGGGCTGGCACTCTGTGCACTATGGTGCCACCTAGCTGCCCATATTAATTGGATTAATATAATCACCCCCTACCCTTACAACTGTATTTCTCCTTCCTCAAATAACTCATACACTTACACACACACACACACACACACACACACACTCACATAAACATTCTAAGGGAGAGATCTGTGATTTCATCACTGTATAAGATTCCTAGAAAACTTTTCACACCCACTGCAGGTCAGCATTGGTTCTGGAACTCATATGATCTTTGACAGTTGCTTGGGCCTCTTAGAGGTGAAATGATTGCCTCAGGGTTACACACAACCAGTCTATGTTTGAGAGAGACTTGAACCCAAGTCCTGACGACATGACTCTGAGGCTTGTTATTTATCCACTACAATGCCTCATATATATTTTTTTTTTTGGTGGGGGGGGCTAGGCAATGGGGTTAAGTGACTAGCCCAGGGTCACACAGCTAGTAATTGTCAAGTGTCTGAGGCTGGATTTTAACTCAAGTCCTCCTGACTCCAGGGTCAGTGCTCTATCCACTGTGCCACCTAGCTGTCCCCTAATGCCTCATATTTTGAGAAGAATGTGGAAAGGAAAAAACAAATGTGTTTCTCCCACTTAATTTTGTGTCTCCCTTCTTTTCCCCTGTGAAGAGTACTGACTGAAGACTTTTCTCTAAATGGAACTCATTTTTCCCCGGCCAACATGGATAAAGGGCTATATTACAGAATCAGCCAGTCTGTTTGATAGTGTCTAGAATAGAAAAAGAGGATAGGTAGTCAGTATTTTCTCCTCTCTGCACCCATCTATCAATGCTTCTCTTATTTATCAATTCGGACTTGGAGGATAAGATTGGCAGGTTAACCAATATGCCCCCAACCCTGCAGGGCCCCCCAACCAAGTTATATCTTAGGCTGCAAAAGCTTTCAGATGGTGTGTCTGACTTTTCAAGACTCGATTTGGGTCTTCTTGGAAAAGATAATGGAGCAATTAGCCATTTCTTTCTCCAATTCATTTTATAGTTGAGGAAACTGAGACAAACAAGGTTAAGTGACTTGCCCAAGGCCACACAGCTAGTAAGTGTCTGAGGTTAGAATTGAACTGACAAAGATGAATCTTCCTGACTAGAGGCCCGAAGCTCTATCCACTAAGCCCCAGTTTTTCAAGACTGATTTGATGCTAAAATGAAACTTCCAAGGTGTGAAGAAATCTAGAAGCAAGGGAAAAGAAAGACACGGCTGGCAGAAGGGATAATGATAAGGAAAGCCTGGGGGAAGGGGGTGTGTGAAGGGAAAGAGAGCTACAGAGAATAAGGCAGAAGAAATGTGGATGCTTAGACAGCCTGGAATTGTGCAAGAGATACCTACTATACGAGGACATGAGGAAGCCTGTGTTCACTTTCCTGGTGTTGCTGAAGTTTGGTTCTATCTCATTCCCCTCAGAGTCGAATTTGCGGTGATGGATGCGACTGGGTCTGATGTACAGCACATAGTAACGCTCCTAGAGTTAAGCAGAGAAAAAGTAAAACAGGCTTCCCTTCTTTGTCCTACCTGCTTCTGGGGATTGGCTTGCCCCATCAACATTTTCTGCCTTCTCTCTGTCCAATCAGTCTATTACAACTGCCCGCTCAGTGTTACATGCCACACCTAGTACCCAATTCTAATGATCAGAGCCAGGAGGAAACAGTCCATCGTGGCTCTGGAACTCTGACCCTATAAACTCTGATTCTCCTGCTGATATAATTCTGATAAGCAGGGTTAGACTGTATATGAACCAGAGCTGGAACTAAGCTGGGGTGACCAGGGCAATGCCCCAAATGGTGATACAGGAAGAGGGACTGTTTCCTCCCACCTGTGGAATACCTGCTATCAACAGGTCTCACTCCCTTGCCTGGCCCAGGATGCCACCCCCCACCCCAAGATCCCATTACTTTCACACACCTTCTCCTAGGGCTGCCTCCTGAAGTTTTATTTGCTGCCTAGCCACACTAGAATACTGAATACCAGCACAGAAACAGAGAGGAGAGTAATGCAAAAAAAATTTCACGCAAAGAAAAGCAACTTTTTTATTGTTGTTGGAACACAGAATTGGAAACAAAATGGATGCTTGTCTATTGGGGAATGGCTGGGAAAATGATGGCATACAAATGTAATAGAATATTATTGCACCATGAAAGAGACAGATTCACAGAAAACCTGAAAATTCTTATGAACTGATACAGGGTAAAGAGAACAGAATCAGAAGAACAATTTTGACAATGACTAGAACAATGTAAAGGAAAACAACTGATTAAAGCCACGACCAATCATGACTCCAGAAAACTGATGATGAAGCATGCTTGTGTTCTCTTAATAACAATAGCTAATATTTATATAGCGCTTACTACTTGCCAGGCACTGTGCTAAGTGCTTTACAATTACTATCATATGCAATCCGCACAACAGGATTAAATAGCTGAGATAGCTGCTATTATTAACCCTATTTTACAGATGAATGAGGTTAAGTAACTTGCCCAGGGTCACACAGCTATTTAGTGTCTGAGGCCACATTTGAACTCAGGTCTTCTTGACTCCAGGCTCAGTGCTCTACCCACTGTACCAGGTAATAGACTGGAGGCGTGGAATGGGACATCTATTTTTCAGAAAGTTAAAAAAAATTACCATGTCAAAGAGAAAATACTGCAAGCAGCCAGAAAGACACAATTTAAATATCATGGAATCACAGTCAGGATTACACAGGACCTTGCAGACATTAAAAGACCACAGGGAGTGGAATATGATATTCCATAAGGCAAAGGAGCTTGTATTACAACCAAGGATCAACTACCCAGAGAAAATGAGCATGATCTTTCAGGGGAGGAGGTAGATATTCAATGAAATAGGGGACTTCCAAACCTTCCTGATAAAAAGATCAAAGCTCAAAAGAAAATTTGATCTTCAAATACAAGAGACTCAAGAAAGACATAAAAAGGTAAACGGGACAGAAAGAAACAACATGTTATTAATAAGGGAAAACTGTTTACATTCCTACGAGGGAAGATGACACTTGTAACTCTTGAGAACTGTATTGTTACTACTCCATGTTAAAGGGGTATACATAAAGGGAGTGGGTATAAAGTGACTTAGATGTAATGATAAAAAAAATCTAATCAAGTGGGTTAAATGGATCTAAGTAGGTGGATTAATCTGATCTAACTAAGAAAATGTACTGAGAAAAAAGGAAAGGAGGAGACAGACAAGGGTAAATTACATTACAGGAAAAGGCATAAAAACCTGTTACAGCAGGGGGAAGGAAGGGAGGGAGATTAGCATTGTCTGAACCTTACTCTCATCAGATTTGGCTCAGGAAGGGAATAACATAATCAGTTAGGTATAGAAATCTAACTTGCCACATAGGCAGATAGAGGGAAAAGAGGAAAGAAAAGGGAGGGAGGATAGAAGGGAGGGAAGAAGGAGTAAGGGTAAAGGGGAAGAAAAGGGAGAGGGCTAACAGAAGGGAGACGGGACTGAGGGAGGCAGTGGTCAAAAGAAAAACACTAGCGAGGAGGGAAAAGGAAAAAGGAAAAAGAAAAGCATACACAAGGGGAGAGGGGGAAGGATAGAGAGAAAGACACAGGCAGTAATCATAACTCTGAATGTGATATATGAATGTAACGGAATACTATTGTGCTATAAGAAATGATGAACAGGCAGATTTCAGAAAAACCTGAAAAGATTTGTATGGTCTGATGCTGAGTGAAGTGAGCAGAACCAGGAGAATGTTATATACAGTAACAGCGACCTTGTACGAAGACTAATATTGATAGACTTAATCCTTCTCAGCAGTACAAGGATCTAAGACATCTCCAAAGGCCTCATAATGGAAAATGCTATCCACATCTAAAGAAAGAACTATGGAGTTTGAATGCAGATCGAAGCATACTATTTGCTAATTTTTTTCTTCTGTTGTGTTTTGTTTCCTCTTTCTGGTAGTTCCTCTTATTGATTCAATTTTTTACTTACAACACCACTAATGTAAAAATATGTTTAATAGGAATGTATATGTATAGCCTATATCAGATTGCCTGCTGTGTTGGGGAGTAGGTGAAGGGGGGGGGAATTTTTAAACTCAAAAGCTTATGGAAGTGATAAATCAAAATAAATTAATTAAAATTTTAAAAAAAGAAAAAAAGAAAATGGAAGTAATGACACTTATACTACCTACCTCAAAGTGCAGTTGGGAGGAAAGAGCTTTGCAAATTGTCAAACATTACAGAATGCAAGGTTAATGTGTAATACCCTCAGCTGACACCCAAAGTACCATTATTACAGTTACAGGGAATAGCACAAGGAAAAAAGATATATGACATGTGTGGGTTTCTAGAAAAGGGCTTACCAGATTCATCAATGACAATAAACATCCCTGCAGTTTATAGGAGGACCTTAGATATTATCTAATCTATCTTCATTCATTTGAGAAATTAGGAAATTGAAGCCCAGAGTGGTGACTTGATTTGCCTAGTATCATACAGCTAATTAGCACACCTAGGTGCTACCCCTGGAGCTGCCACTCATAATGATGCTAGCCCCAAGCTGAAGACCTTGGGAGGCACCTATCACAGGATGCCTTCCCCGTTAGTCATTTCTGTGTCCTTTGAGCTATTGAACTGTAAGCCTGACACATATCAGACAATAAATAAACTTCTTTTTAAGTGAATGAAAACTGAAAAATTATCAAATTAGGTAGCCATAGAGTTATTTCTTACAATGTTTGTAAAGAGTCTGAAATAAAGAATCTTAACCCATTGCTGTATGAGGAATTTAACAGAGAAGTGACTAGTACTAAGCACCCACTGTGAAAGAGTAGAGAATGAGAAACTCCTTACGGAGTTTTGGCAAATCATCAGAATACAAGCTCATTAAAAAGATGGGTAGGAGAAAGCCCATTCTCTTTCAAGTTTAGGGCTGGTCAGAGTCTCCTTTTATCAAACACTGATCCCTTCTTTTTTATTACTAATGTGTTCATCACTAAGGCCCTGAGACATGACAACAGAAAATTACATCCGTCAATGGATAACAGGAAATGATGACAGACTTATTAGAAGGGATGTTTACTATAATGCCAAAAGGATCTGTGATTTACTTTTTCCACCAACTTTGATCATAACCTTTCTGCAGCATGCTATATAGTCTTTGAGGATTAGTATGACCCCAAAACTAAGAAACCTGCTATCAAGGTGCAAATAAGTTTCTCTGAACTTTGTCGGTCCTCAGACAACAGATCTATGCAGCTATAGTAAAGATGTACTACTCTGATGCCTTTTTGTAGGTGGAGGTAACCCTACTACTGCTTAAATGAACTTGCCTCAGGTGTCAAAATTCCTAGTTACTGCTCTGATCTGACTTCAGTTTCATACATCACTTGCCCCCCAGACCAGTACTTGGTGTATGTGGGCTCACTAGCCTATCACAAACCAATTAAAATATTACATATTACAATGATAACAAAAGAAAAGAAATCCCAAGGCCAAACACAGAAGGAATGACAGCCTCAAAACCACACTGAGCCATTCAGTCTCAAATGAACTCTTTACAAGCTCTCAATCAATTGCCTCATCAAATAGTCTATCAGAGCCAAGCAATCTCTGTTATACCTGGCCTGTATCACAAAAAAATGGCCTACTGATACATCCCAAATGACTTATAAACCAGGAATCATCTACTTTCCAGTACCTTTATTTATATTTAATTTTCATTTATTAAGTATTTAATTTAATATTTATACTGAGATATTTATGGTTACTTAAGTTACTTAGTTTAGGTAACCTTATATACCCTAGGATAAATTGGCATATATGTGTGTCTGTGTATATAAATGTGTGTATATATGTGTGTGTGTGTGTGTGTGTTTGTATGTATTTATACATACACATATATCAAATTTTATAGTATATAATATATAAACACATCATTATATATCATATAATACCATAATTATATATGATCACATTATAATATATAATTATACAGAGAGAGAATCAGTTATAATTTTTATCTACTATGCTTGTTAGTTCCTTTGGGGATTTGCTGTGAACTTTTCCCTCCTCTTGTGTGTGTTGGTGATGATAGTATTCCTTTTATTTCTCCCTTGCAATTGCTTAAAAGTCTCCATGGAAAATACAGATTTCTCTGTGTTAGGTAAAGTAGGGAAAACAGGTTAGTATGAAAAGGGACAAACTGAATGTCTGTCCTGGGCCTCATGCTCTGTGTGGGCCCTTTAAGGTGTTCTATCCTTCATTTGGGCCTGGAATCTCCTTTATAATGCCCTGGGGCTTCATATTGCTAGAAGTAATAATATAATTACTCCATGCAGAGACAGCTCGCTCCTTATCAACTACTAGGGTCCCAAAGTGTATTTTTTTTGTTTGTTTTTACTTTTTTTTGGCGAGGCAATCAGAGTTATGTGACTTGCCCAGGATCACACAGTTAAGGTCAAGTGTCTGAGGCCAATTTTGAACTCAGGTCCTCCTGACTACAAGGCTGGAGCTCTATCTACTGTGCCACCTAGCAGCCCCAAAGTGTTATTTTTTTGGAACACATTTTTATTGATATCTTTTGTTTTTATATCACCTCTTTCTAACTGCATCTCTCCTATTACCCTTTCCTAGAAAGCTGTCCTTTATAATAAAGAATGAGAAAAGTCTGATCTGGCTGTGCCTTGGCTTTGGAAACACCTGGGTTCAAATCCTGCCTTGGACACATTTTATATACATACATGTATACACATAAACATATATACACACATATATGTGCGTGTGTGAGAATGCATATATATAGCACCTGGAGTCAGGAAGCGCTGAGTTCAAATGGATTTTTAAATGATTTGAGATCCAGTCTCAGACACTTGATAGTCGTGTGACCCTGGGCAGGTAACTTAACTTCTATCTACCTCAGCTTCCTCAACTATAAAATGAGGATAGTCACAGCACCTACCTCACAGGATTGTTATGAGAGTAAAATAAGATGATATTTGCAAAGCATTTAGCACAATGCCTGACATACAGTTGGTGCTTAATAACTGCTTACTCCCCCTTCCCTAAATATCTCAATATAAATGTTGGCCCAATCAGCTGCTGCCCCCAAGTGGCATATTATGTGCTCATATGTGCCTCCCTCTCCACATGGCCTGAATCTCCCGAAGGCTTTTCCAGTTAATGTTGCACAGACTCCCCCCGCTCAAGAGTACAACATGCTCACCTTTTTGCCACTGGCATCTGAGATATTATGACGAGAGACGTCAACCAGTTCTCCCTCCAGAAGGATACCATTTCCCCTGGTAAAAAGAGGACAAGGTGAGATCAGCCTAGCTGTAAGTCTTTAAGAAGGAGCCATAAGATGAAGACTCTAAGTTACAAGCTATACCGACACAGAGCTGTGACCTATGTCATCCACGTCTACCCTTGTTACCCAGGGCCAAAGAAAAACTATACAGAATGAAAAACGTCCCTTCTATTTACCCAGTGCGCTCACTCTTCTAAGGATTTCAGAGGCAAAAGATATCAATAGCTGATATGTGTATTTTGCTTTAAAGCTTGAAAAAGATTTGATATGCATTATGCCATTAGACCATAAGGAAGGAGCGAAAAAAAGGTAGACAAGGCCTAGTTATCCACTTGTCCATTTGTACATCTCCAACAGGCAGCTGGTGATGGGGACTAGAGCTGAGGAGAGGGAAGAGGGCTCATGAAGATCTGGGAATCATCTTCATGTAGAACACACACACACACACACACACACACACACACACACAAGGGACAGAATGGTGGTAGAGCAAAGGGTTATTGTTGATTGTTTAGTCAGGTCCAACTTTCATGCCCCCATTTGGGGTTTTCTTGGCAAAGATACTGAAGTAGTTTGTCATTTCCTTTTCCAGCTCATTTTATAGAGGAGGAAACTGAGGCAAATAGGGTTAGGTGACTTGCCCAGGATCACACAGCAAATAAGTGTCTGAGGCCAGATTTGAACTTGGGAAGATGAGTCTTCCCAGTGCTCTATCCACTGTGCCACCTCAGTGCTCCAGAGGAGAAGGTAGAAAGCCCTAATTCTTAGGCTTTTAAGATAGAGAAAAGCTTGTTCCAGGGCTCAACCAATCTTGCTTGCCTGGTCACCACAGCAGTGCTTGGCATTTTGAGGAAAATGTTTCCCTCAAACTACAGAACTGTACTTCATTCTTTCCACTTACATTTCTTCTCAGTCATGCATATTTAAATTATACTAATGATGTAACATGAAAAGGCTGTGCTGCTGGATGGATGCCCAGAGTAATGTGAGCTCAGCCCTGACTTCACCTACAGTAGCTCCAGCATGGGTTTCCACTAAGTCCCATACTCCGAGGAAAGAGATATACAGCAGAGAGGTTATTGGCCACCAGGGTTTGGGCTCTTTCCCAGTTACCCAGGAAATAATCTAATCAGATACTGTGAATCTCCCCCAACTGAGTTTGTAGAAGGTGGCCTAGCCTCAACAATAGCTATTATTCCATCTATTATCTGTCCCAACTGTGGTGTCTACATGTACACAGGGGAAGGGTAATGACACACTCCATTAGGAACACACATCAAACGAGGTACATTAAAAGCTTCCACAGGGGCAGCTAGGTGGCATAGAGGATAGGGCACCCCCCCTAGAATCAGGAGGACCTGAGTTCAAATCCAGACTCAGATACTTACTAGCTGTATGACCCCTGGCAAGTCACTTAACCCTGATGTCTTTCCTCTGTCTTAAACTGACTTTTTCCTTCCTGGTCATAACCTCTACAAGCCTTTGCTTTTCTTTTATCTCCTAATGTTATGCCTTCTCAAGCTGAGAAGCAGCAGATTATGGCAAAGATTTGCTGCCTTTCTCCACAATCACCACCACTTTTTAAATTTTTTTTCCTTAAAAGATGAAAATTAATACACTCCCAAGTTTCAGGGCTAGCTCCTAGACCCACGACAAATTCATCAAGCCCCGGTTTAGTCAATGACTACGTTGTCTACATCCTCTCTAAGACTAAAACTTCTTGAGAAACAAACGTTCTCTAGTTTAACCATGTAACATGTAGGACCAAATTGCACAAACTCAGCACTCCATGCAAATCAAAAGACTACAATGTTAATACTGTTACAGTACTTTGTATCTTAGCAGCCATTAACAGGACATTCACTATCCCAGCAGGAAGCTGGCACAAGTTGGCAGAGGAGGTATGGTCTGCACTGGGGAAATATTAAGCAATTAATAGGGTGTTAGACTGAGAGTCAGGTGCCTTTTTGGAGCTCCCCTCCTAATTCTTGATGAGAGATGTACCACAAGTTATTTTGCTTCTCTGTAATTTGGCTTTCCCATCTGTCAAAGCAAAAAATAATTCAGACCCAGATTATAGGGGAGAGTTACCTAGTGCTGGATTGTTTTGTTATTTAAAATACTTAAATCAGCCTCCTCAGTGCCATAGTGATGCAAAGCAGAACAAAAACAGTTTGACTAGAGCTCATACCACTGCAGTGCTTATGAACTAGTGCCCTTTGATCAAAGCACAGGAATCACCCAAAACAGATACTGCAGGATCTTGATGCCAGAGGTATTTTGTTTCCATTAAGTTTTAAATAATCCCTCTGGGGTGCCAAACTTTCCATAAATCTCCCCTCTTTCTCACAAAGTCTAGTTAGAAGCAACAAGGGGACACAATGGGGAAGGAAGGCTTGTTCTGCATAAAAAATTCACACAAGGTCAAATTTGCTAAATTTGACTTGCATGGGGGGAAAAAAAGGCCTACAAGTGATGCAAGTTAAATTTCAAGTGCTTTAAAAAAAAACCTGAACTGTTAGTGACCAAAAGCTAGAAATCTACTTAATGTCAAAATAAGAGCAATTTAATGTAGTGTAGTTGGAAGAACTGTGTTCAAATCATACCAGAGACATTATCACTAGAGCCACCAGAGCTCTTACCACTATTAAAGGGCAATCACATGGGAAGATCAGAAAACTCAAATTTATCATGAATTAATAAATTTTCCTAATATAGTTATTCTATGGGTGCTAGCAAAATGCTAAGCTTAAATAGTATGTAAGCTCTGAGGGCAGGAATTGTTTTTCCTATTGTCTTGGATGCCCAGTGTAGTGATTTGATTTAGTTTTAGGTAATTTTCTGAGGCAATGAGAGGCCAATCAGTCAATCAACAAGCATTTAACCTTAATAAACTGGCCACCCAGTGGAAGCCAAAGGATACAAAGAAAAAGGAAAAGCAGTCTCTGCCCTCCAGGTACTTACACCCTAATGGGACAGACAGGTATACACAGTGTGGATGGAAGGTAGCCATAGGGGGTTGGACAGAGCCAGGGAGTCTAAGGCAGAGGTGAAGGTGCTCGCTCTCCTGAGGACTCCAGGCACTTCAAAGGCACAAGAGAGCCCATAAGTTTCCTTTCTGAGGAAGAGAAAATAGGCCAGTGTGGTAAGATTGTAGCCAGCATGAAGAAGAGTACTGTGCAGCTTGCAGGCCAGGTTATAAAGAACTTTAGAAATACCAAACAGGAAACAATGGGGAGCCACTGGGGTTTATTGAGTAGAGCAGTAATATGGTCAGACCTATACTTTAGGAAAATCATTTGGTAACTCTATGGAAAAAGACATATGCATGTGATGTGAAACAGGGAGACCCATCAGGAGGCTATTACAAAAGACTAGGGGAGAGAAGATGAGAGCCTGGACTTAGGTTTCCAATCTGGAAAATGGGAAGCCAGTGGAATCCTCCAACTAATAGGGAAGAAGTTCAGGAGAGGGGTAGGTTTTGGCAAGCAAATAAAGAATTTGGTTTTGGACACACTGAGCTTGGTTCTGTGGTTATTAAGCTGTAGGACTTGACCCCAGAGCTTTCCAACTCTGGCCTGCTTTCTATTGTGGAAGCCAGAGTTCCTCAGACCTTAGGCACAGTAGGCACTTAATAAATGCTTTCAAAATGAATACTAAACATAGAAACAAAATAAGGTTACTGTCCATGGCAGCCTTGCCACTGTTCCATGTGACCCTGGCCCATTTACCGATCCTTTTTCGCTCCTCAGGGTTCTACTGGTACAAGAATGGTCCCATTAAAAAGTAAATTGTCTGAAGGGAGAGCACTGTGAACTATGGGGCAGTATTAAGACTGGAAAAGGAAAGAATTTGGGACTTGGTCTTTAGATATTTGGCATGAGTCTCCAGACTTCCACTGCCCTCCAAGAGTCAGTTTTGGGGCACTTAGATGGCAAAGTAGATAGAGCATTGGCCCTGGAATCAGGAGGACCTGAGGTCAACTCTCACTAGCAGTGTGACCTTGGGCAAGTCACTTAACCCCGATTGCCTCCCCCCAAAATAAAATAAAATAAGAGACAAATTTCTCATTAGCAACTTGGAGATACCTCACCACTCCACCGAAGCAGACTGAGGTGAGGACAGCCTCTGTACCTTAAAGGATTGTGTAAATGTGAATATTAGGGGGAACCGGAGCCCTCGAAGGGCTCAGTCGGAAGGAAGGACATGCACGGGACTCGAGCAGTGGCATCCCAAACTCCAGATGTTGCGCACACTTAAGTTAACCCAGGTAGATTACAGCACGCTTGGGAGTCCAGTCTTTAGCCAGGATGGATTTAACATTGCTTGGGCGCTTTAACCATTAAAAGTCATTTTTTTCCAAAGAAGGAAAGCAGTACAGCAAAGCTGAGGCACCCTCTGTCCCAATGCAATGACCTTGACCACTCCTCCCAAGCCCCCTTCTTCCCCACCCTCATTCAGCTGGGAGGAAAGGAGCCGAAGCCAAAGAGATAGAGAGGGGCAGCAGAGGCCCCGCCCCGTCCCAGTCTCCGGGCCAGGGAAAGACTCCGGGTGCAAAGATCCCGGAGAGCAACTGCCGGAGCCCCAAGCGCAGGACGGAGCCCAGACGGGAGCCCTACCGCTGGTACGCAGCCGGGTCCCAAGAGCCGGGCAGCCGAGTGCTGTGCACCGCCTTGTTCCGGAGAGCGCTGTCGTGATAGATGCGGCTCATCGGGATAGAGGATGGGATTTAGTTGGAATGATTTTGCAACTACTTCCTCCCTGGGATGGGACGATGGAATGCTTGAGGTGAGGGGTGATGAAGACGTAGGGACCTGCTGAAGGGTAGGTAAAAGCAGACAAGTCTCAACTTTCAGGACACACGGAGATCAAACTCCCGCCAGTTCAGCCCAGCCTAGTCCTCGAGGCCAGCTCTGAGAGATCACGGTCTATATCTTCCCTACGCCCCAAAACTCTTCTCCTCCCTGTTTCTACGGAATGGTATGGTCCAGGCCTTTCCTTTCCAAGATTTGGCTTTAAAGGAATAGAGCCCTTCCTAAGAGAACTGTGCAGTGTACCTTCTTCCCTGAAGGGGCGCAAAACTGAGCCCGGAATGGATTCTCTGACTATAACGAAAGAGAACACGGATTAGTGTGTATTTATAAGTAATAAATTAAACGAAGTAATAAAAAATCATGAATTAAGACCAGAAAACAACTCCATGCTTTCCTTTCTCCATGTTAGAAGACCACAGATCCCAGTTATGAATGAGTATATCTCAGAAGAGAGGACAGGGAGAGCTGATCTCAAAAGCACCAGAGCCCTAAGGTAGAGGATGATGGCTGTATCCCAAAAAAAGTTGTCACATGTTGCCTGCCATTGAACTCAGCTGCTTCTGAGCATATGGTATACTTTTTTTTTTAAGTTTTGTTAAAGAACCAGGAGAAACCATGCCATCTTCCTCAAATAGAAGGAAACCTGAATTGAATCACAAGGCAAAAGGCATGAGTTTCCCTGGCTCTGCCACTGACGATGTGACTATAGGTAAACTTCTTAATCTCTGGGCCTAGATTTTCTTATATGTAAAATTACAGAGTTGAACCTCTAAGGGCCCTTCCTGTGCTAAATCCTATCATTTCTCACTAACTGAGCTTGGGCAAGTCAAGTCACTTCACCTTCCACACCTAGAATTTCCTTCCTTTTAAAATGAGAGAGTTACATGGTTTTCCCCTTTTGTTCTGATTCTTCTTTTACAACATGACTAATGTGGAAATACGTTCAATATGATTATACATGTATAGCCTATATCAGATTGCATGCCATCCTGGGGGAGGCAGGAGGGGGAAATTTAGAACTCAAAATCTTATAACAGTGAATGTTGAAAACTAAAACAAAATTAACTAATTAATAAAAATAAAATGAGTGATTTAGACTAGATGCTATCTAAAGCATCTAAAGCAGCTCTGAAATCCCCTGATTCCAAGTATTGTTCTGCAGGGATGGAATTCTTAGCCTGGGGCTCTTGTCAAGCCTCTTAATCCTTTGGAAAAGGACACAAACTTCCTTCCTCAGTTTAGTCTACAAATATTTCAAAAGATTCATGATTTGATCAATGTGGGTACTCCCTCAATTCAATTAAATAGTCACTTCCTAAATCTCTTAATTCACCCAAATCACAACCTTCTACTTGCCTTAGTAGAATTTCAGGCATTGCTATGGCCAAAAATAATTGCCACCTACTTTAACTCTGGTCCTTGAATAACTAACACACCGATGCCAAGTCTTTCCCCCCAAAGTTTTAAGGTCTGGCTTCAACTTGGAGAACCCAGGTTCACCTTTACACCAAGATAGGCACTGGAGGACTTTAGTGGGGGAAATTAAGGTTACAGATGAAGAAACACAGAGTTCCACACAGTGAGTAGAATCAGGACCAAATACCAGTTTATCCTAAATATACTAGATATATACAGCCTCCCACAAATTGTATTTCCTTCTACTTGTAGAGGTAATAAAATTTGAATGTGTGTGCATCACATGTAAAAGTTGTAAAATAAAGCCAAATTGAGGTACACAAAAAAAAAAGAGAGAAAAGAGAAAAAATGTGTCCTCTGGCTTTATCCCATCTAGAGTGTCTTATTCCTTACCATTTCTCCTTATTTACAATCTAGTAGGCAGGCAGGTAGCATCAGAAAGTGATTTTGATAGTGTCAATTAAGTATTATTGGCTATTTTTCCATATTAGGATCCCACCTTTTCCTGACATAAAAATAACACATTCTACTTTTTAAAAATCTGTAGATTTCAGTAAAGGGGAAGAGGAACAGATGCTACAGTGTGCCAACATCTTGGCTATTAAATAAGTACTTTATGCTTGAACAATATAACTAAAAGGATGACAACATTCTTGACAAAGGAAGAAAGGAAGAAGAAGACGAAGAAGAAGAGAAGAAAACAATTTAGCAAAGTGATAATCCTCAGGCACAATCGTATCATTATCTTTCTGTGGCACTCTATCACCATAATACAATTTCTCCTTGGCATCACTGCTGAAGCAGAAGAGATTGAGTTGATTGTGGTCGTACACACCCTAAAATCAAACAAGTCCTTTAAGTCAAGGGAGTACGATGAAAAGTCTAGGAGAAACACTATCCAAGGGTTGAAACTGCATCAGGGTTAACTGAGTTAGTACCCATTTCTGGCCAATGAGTGTTTGTCTCTTGCAGCAGGATGCCGATGATTAGGGTTCATCCATCCATGAGACCTCTTCATTGACAGGGTCAGGCACTAGAAGGTGACTCATGGGGAGTAGTCCCTATCATACCACCCCCTCCCCAGGAGATTTCATCCATTCCTACACATGCAATCCTTACCTTTATGAAGAAGATTCCTAAATCATGTCCATTATACAGCTTGGTTCAGATTCCCCATTTCTAATCTTCCTGTTGTATATCTCTATCCAGACATCTCTCCATCACTTCAAACTCAAGATGTCTAAAACTAAACTTATCTTCTTCCCAAAACTAGCTGATTCTCTATACAATCCCAAAATGTCGATCTTGAAAGAGACATTAGAGATCAATATGTATAACCTGCTCTGTTTTACATGTAGCATCTTCTATAGGCTTTCCCCAGCTGGCACTGGCAGGTTAGGTTCCTGGAAGGGCTCCTGACAGCAATGGTCCTAGGAGTCTTTTCTTCTAACAGGGTAGCTCATTGGAGCCCCACCATCGTATTTCTACTTAACATTCAGCCAGTAGATTCTGCTGGCTTTTATAAAAGGCATTATTTAAATGATATAGAAAGATACAGAATCTATGAGGGGAAAGTGTGGGTCCATACTTAAAATACAATGGTAGTAAGGCATATACATAGGGAATACATGTGGCCAAGGCAGCTCACAACTCTGAAACAGCTGGGTCTCAGTGTCTTTTCTCTGGAGAGGCTTTATGGGGTTCACCATGGGGTGAAGCATTGGTGTTGGTGATGGATAAATTGTTCCACTGCTAGGCTGGGTTGGCTCTTCACAGGTCACATTGTCTCCAGTGGGAGGGCAGCTCGCCTGGACCTACAGCATCTCAGCCAAATGGTTCAATCTACTGCTGGGTTGGGTCAAGACAGTTGCTGCACTGCTGGATTAGACTAAAAAGGCTGGATGGAGCCAGATTACCAAGGGCTTTAAGTTCCAAGCAGAGAGGTTTGTATTTTATCTTAGAGGCAATGGGGAATGACTTATGGTTCTTGAGGAGGATAATGACATGCTTAGATTCATGCTTTAGGAAGATTATTTTGGCAGATGCATGAATGGAAGCTGGGAACCCAAAAAGAAAGCTGTAGCAATAGTCCAGGAGAGAGGTTATAAGGACCTGAACTAGGATGGCACCTTAACATATTTCATCTTCCCTGTGAAATCTTTGGTTTTTTATCACATCACATGGAAGTGATCCCTATACACCTATAAATTTTTTTGCTACTTATATGTTATTTATTATGTATTGCTTGTACTATAATTATGTGTATAAATAGAATGATGAAATCATAAAACGGGACCCAGAAGGGATACTAGAAGCCATCCAACTCTCATTTTACAGTTGAAGAAACTGAGGTCCAAGAAAAGTAAGTGATTTTCTCAAGTTTACACAGGTAGTCAATGGCAGAGATAGGATTTGATTTTTCCACCATACCACACTACCTCCTACCTTCCCTGCTAGATTTTAACTGTCTTAAGAGTAAGGCCAGTTTCTAATGCATCTTTCAGAGCATCTTATACATAATGGATACTCAATAAGTATTTTTAAACAAATTACATCACAAGTGGCACAAATGTGTAAAGTATATGAATTCAAAGATTTAAGCAAGCCCCTATCCCTCTTTTGCATGCCTCATTTGGACAACCCATGCTGAGTACATCCCACAGTTTAGAGGCTATCCCTTCCCCCACATTGTTCCAGATTCCTAAGGCCTGCTGAGATGATGTCAAAAGATAGAAAGATCTGCATTGCTATGAGGAGACCTCAACCTGCTCTAGGGGAGGGGAATCCATTGTAGATAGGAGAATGGGATTCTGCAAGCACAGAATGGCACATTCTGGATATCTTTTGTGCAAGGATCACTATGTGGGTTGACCTATCCTGTGAGGCCATAATGTGCTTTCATCAGCAAAGTCACTGGCAGGATTGAAGTAGATCCTTCCCCTTCCAGCTTGCCTTATCCCACCCCCTTGCCCCTCATCTTCCCTCTTAAACTAGGTTCCCTCTAGAATATAGACATGGAATTGAACTTCATCATCTGAAATTCGAAGAAGTCCAGATATGTCTTTTGAACTTCATAGCTCAAGGAGCTATCATTCATCTCTTACCACTCACTAGTCTCAAATGATCAAGCTATGTGCTTTTAAGTTGGTACTGTTTTAAATGGTTAGATTCTTGGTCATTGCTCATTGTGAGGATGCATTTCCTTCATAAGTTAGTAATATACTTTTTCCTTTCAGTTAATTTTCGGGCAGTTTTCCTGCCCCAGACTGACATTTCAGTTAAAAGCTGCCATGGAATTTGTTGTCCTAAGCAATGTCTCTCACTCTCATCCAATTGCAGAATATTAGAGGTGAATCAGTAGTCATCCAAAATGCTTGAACACTATCTTAAGATATAGCCCATTCATTGATAAACAGTCCTGTTTGTTAATTTAATTTGTGCGTTGAAGTTCTTCTTTCTAGTATTAAGTGAAGATCTGCCTGCTTATGATCTTACCCACTGGCCCCTTCAGAAATTGTTTTGTTTAGAACCACAAGGCAGAGGATGGGGTAAATGGAAAGTTGTGAATAAGGAGCATCTCTTAGGCCAGTTTGGTTGGAAAGGGGAGTAAAGTGAAATAAACTAGAACATAGGTGGGAACCATATTATGGAGGGCTAAATGCCAGGCTAAAGAGTTATATCTTATTCAAGAGACAACAAGGAATCATTGAAGATTTTTAAGTAAGGGAGTGAGTGATGTAATCAGATTTGTGTTTCAGAAATATGATAGGGGCAGCTAGGTGGTATGGTGGCTAGAGCTCCAGCCTTGGAGTCAGGAGGACCTGATTTCAAATCCAACCTCAGACACTTGGCACTTACTAGCTGTATGACCATGGGCAAATCACTTAA